GCGGCGGCGGCGGCATGGCCGTGCCCTGGGCTTTGCCCGCGCCCCTCAGCCCGGCGCAGCTGAAGCGCCTGGAGCAGCACCGCTACAGCGCGGCCGGGCGCTCGCTGCTGGAGCCCTGGCTGCAGCCCTACTGGGCCTGGCTGGTGGAGCAGGTCCCGCTGGGGCTGGCCCCCAACGCCATCACCCTGGGCGGCCTCCTGCTGAACTGCCTGACGGCGCTGCCGCTCATCGCCTGCTGCCCCAGCGCCACCGAGCAGGTACCGCCCGCCACGGCCCGCCGCCGCCTCCTCCACCTCGCCCTTACAGCCCGACCTCCTCGCCTCAGCCCCGGCCGCCGCCCCGCGGGGCCTCCGCGGCCTCCCCCCCTGCGGGCCCCGGGAGGTGCGGTGTGGGGGGAGCCGCCGCCGTTCCCTCCTGGCAGCCCGTGGGGCGTTGGGCCTCCCTCCCCGTGCACTGTCACTCGCGGCCCCACCGCGGTAACACGCGTGGTGCCTTCCCGTGGGACGGAGGGAGGGACGGAAGGCTGCGGGTTTGCCCGCAGAAAAGCGTGGAGCGGTGGTGCGGGGGTCAGGCTTTGGGGTAGCAGGGGTCTGGCTGGTGTTAAGCTTCGAGTGCCGAAATGCTGGCGTGGCAGGGCGAGCCTCGGTGGGTGCCTCTCTCCTTCCTCCCTGGCCTTCGCTGATGAGAGCTGCCCGTGGGGATGGGGCTGTGACCGGCAGTCACACCAGATGCTGTGGAGCAGGGGGACAGCCGGGCTCACCCTGGCGTGTGTCACCCCAGCCTCCTCCAGGGACCCTCCTGGGTCCCACACTTGGGCTGCTTGCTGGGAGGGAGACCTAAGCTGTGTCAGCTCCCTCTCTTCTCAAGAGGAAGGGTGGAACGGAGGGGCCGTGGAGCTAGAAACAGCCACTGGCTGGTGGAGAGGGTGTGGGATGTGCCCAGGAGCGGGGCAGAGGTGGCCGTGAGGCATGGCTGAGGCCACTTCAGCATCCCCCTTAGTTCAGAGCTGAGATTTAGTTGTGTCGCAGATGTGTTGGCTGACAGCAGCTCAAATGCTCCCTGCCCTCACGTGGGAAATGCTTAATTGCTTTAGCTTCTGGAGGGAAAACAGGCATGTGAACGTGGGCTGACACTGCTGTCACTTGAACTGTGTTGCCTACAAGTTTCTCTGACAATTTAAGGAGCTCTTGTGGAGCTTCCCAGCCTGTTAGGAGTTTCCCGGTGTTGAGTCTTCATGTTAGTTAGGGTGGGAAATATCAGGGGAAAATTGCTTTGTGTCAGTAAAGTATCTTGAAGGGGTAAAATATCTTTTATTTTTCTTGTGTTCTGATGGGCTTAAATCCTAATGGCAGAGGCAGCCGTTGGTTGGGGTATTTTAATAACTTATATATACTTTGGTGAGTGTTCTTGTTGATGGAAGCAACCTTTTTCTGTAATTGCTTTGCCCTTTGTGTTAGCAGAGGTGTTTGTAGCAGACATATCAGGAAGCTGATCCAGATCAAAATCAACTTTGCTTTGGTCTAACCCTAACCACTTCCCTGACTTGCATAACCAGGTAGAGGCACCCTTTGGCATTGTAGGAAAAGGGAAGATAGAGGTGAGAGTGAATGGTTGGAAACCACAGATTGCCTTCTAGTGGCACTTTCCGAATTAAAATGCTTGTGGAACTGCTACCTTGAGCTTAGTTTTGTGATGTAGCTGTCAGTCCTCTGCCAGCTGTCTGCCTGGATTTTTCTCTTTCTTTTTCTTTTTCCAAACAGCAAAGAGAAAAAGCAAAAACCCAAACAGTCAGAGAGTAAATTTTAAGTTATTTTTCCCTTGGGGATTCTTGTAAAAAAAAGAAAAATGTTGTTTTGTGGACATCCAGGGAGTTTTTCCTTCCAGGAAAGGTTAGGTTGAGTTTTAGGAACTTTACTGGGTTTTTTTTTTTAAGTGTGGAAGCTGGATTTTATAAAAACCTACAGTTTGGACTAAACTTCATTGTTCAGATGTCAGTATGTCCTTTAAAAATATGTAGTGTAAAGCCAGACTCCTTATATTATTGTTTTTTGTTGCCTCTGCACTGTGAGAATAGCCCTCACTTTCTCATGCTGCATCACTAAGGCATCGTTATCTCTCTTCTGCTTGTTTAATGACTCAGCTTGTCTTCCTCCTAAGGTGTCATGGTTCTGGATGGCGTTTTTAAAAAGCTAAAACTGTTGCAACACTAATAGGTGTGATATGTGCTGTTGTAATATCTACTTTGTACTTTTGACTTGGATGTGCAGGCTGGAAGGGCTTGGGGGAAGGTGGAACTGAAAAGGATGTTAAAGGTGATTGAATCACAGGCTGAACTAATAGCATGGGGCATGTCAGTGTCACCTGTCCGTACTGCTAAGCCACCTCTTCCATTCATAAATGAGTCTTGATTACCTGATGAATTTACAAGAACTTGTTACATTCTCTTGGTGGAAGTGTAGAAACACTGGATAGAAAACTCATAAAGTAACAAGCAGCTTTTGGTTTTAGGTGTTTTGTGTTTTTTACAAGTTGGTTTGTGTGGTTGTGTGGTTTTTGGTTTTTTTTTTCCCCTAACCAGTCTTAAGTGAGGCATTTCTATTAATCCTTTATTGAAAACATTGAAGTCTTAATGTTTGTACAAACCATCCAAAACAAGTAAGACTGGTAGCTGAAATCCCTGGGAGAGTAGCTGCTAGCAGAAAAGAGATCTTTCCCTGATATACCCTTCCAGCTGCCAAAAGACTGTGGTTTAGGGGTTTCTCGGCAAGAGATTCCTCTTGAGTTACTTGCTAGAATAGCAACAGATAGATCTGTTTCCCCACAGACACCTTCCACCTCATGATTTTGAATTATTTGTTTTGAACCCATTTGTACTTTCAGCTTCCGTTATGTCCTACTGCAGTGAATTCCACAATGTAATAATACTTTCTTCCCCTGCCACATGCACAGTGCAATTAATGTCTAAAACCATACAATGCTCCCTTGTTCTCTTACTGTGTAGCTGTTATTTCCTTATAGACTCTTCTTTTTTCCTTCATCAGCATCAGTAGCTGCTGAAAGCAAGTTTGTTACTGACTAGCACAATATGTTTTGGCTTTATGAAATATTGGCTGCTTCAGTAATGTCTTCTTGTCTAGTAAGGACATGGGTGGTATCACTGTCTCTGTAAATGTGTCATTTTAACATAAGCCTTCTTATTGCTGAGCCACTAGCAGACTGCAACCCTCACGCACCGTTGTAACTAAAATCCATGTGTGCAGATATTTGTAATGTTTATCCTAGTGTTTCCAACTCTGTGTAGCTTAGGATAGTCATCTAGAAAAATAATATATGGGACAGCTACACCAGGTGTGGTGGTTGGGGAGGTCACTACCTGCACATTTCTTGTTAATTTTTTTCCTTACATCAGCACTAGGAAGAAAACTGGCTAAACATAACTCTCGATCTTCTTAAAAAGGAGAAAGGAAACTCTGATCCTTCTGCTTTCATGGTTGCTCAGGGAGGGGCCTAGCTTCAGTAATCCTCTGAGCTCAACAACGGCTCTTTCTAAAATGCCATGGGAAGCTAGAAATTTAGGACAGAAGTTCATGCTAACAGTAATCGTTACTTTGTACTGAATTTACATCTATTTGAAAAGCAAATAATCTTATAGCAGTTATAGCAGGATCTAAGCAAAGACATTCCCCACCCCAGACTGATCAGAGTAGATTTTATCCAGTGATAAAGACTTGGCCTGCATGCTTTCAGCTTCTTAGGTTCCATCATGTCCTTTCGAAGGGTTTTGTTTCTGTTATCTGTAATTCCCCACAGGTTACTGGGAACAGAGGAATACAGGAAGAGAAGAGCATGGATTGTGGATTTGCAATTTGGGCGATGATGGAGAAAGGGAGCAAGGGCTCGAGGGTTGTCATGGAGAGAGCAGGAGGGAAGGGAGGCTTGTGATGGCTAGCTCTGTAGAATTGTGTAAAAGATGGCATAGAGCATGTATAAAAGGATGCTATACCTTGCTGAAACTTGCTGTTTTGGAAAGCCATGCATCTAGGGAGACCAAAAAGCTGGGGGGGGGGTCTCGGTGGCTCCAGGTAGCTCTACTATTAACTGCTTGGAGTCAGAGGAACATTGGTGAGGTGCTGTCTCTGCTTCTCTCTATCTCTCTTTTTAAAACTCCTTGTAAAAAACCACCACCAACAAAAAAAACCCCAAACAAACAAATCACAAAAAAAACTCCTACTCCATCTTTTAAACTGAAAGAGGCATTGTATTGAGTTTTTTCCAGTCACAGGGAAAAATGAAGGAGAGATATTGATAGGCACGGTGTTATGTAAATAGCAATGGCACAAATGAGCTTTGTGGGAGAGAGAATAAAAAAGTAAAAAAAAAAAGGAGGAGAACTGGAACAGCTGGTATGAACTGGGGGCGTGAAGGAAGAAGCATTAAGGCCCTGACCTGGTAAAGGAGAGTTGTGAACCACTGAGTGGGTTGGGGAATCCAGCCCATACCCACGAGTGAAGAATGGAGCACTCAGTGAATGGGAGAAGAGATATTTGGCCTAAAGGAAGACAGCAAAGGTTCAGGAACTCCAGGACAGGAGCTATTTCAGAGGGAGCTTGTTGGGGAGAGGAGGATGCTCAAGGAATGCGGGGGAGTCCCTAGTGTGCACAAAATGCATTTGGGCTAGAGTATATTTATTTTATTTTCTATTTTTTCCTTCCTGCCCTCTCCCCTGGCTGTAATACACATTTAAACAGCCCCTTCCCTTCTCCTGCTATTAGTACAACTGTACATAGTGTGTTGTGTAAACCAAAAGTGAGAGAAATGACCCATATTTGCGGGGAAGAGGGAGGAAGTTCAGTAAAAATGTCTGTCTCTATTCTGGATCTGTTCCAGAGGGGGGCTTCGTAAAATAGGGTGAAATCAATTGCTGTGGTGTTGGATCACAAAAGCAAGAGTATGACTAAATGTGACGAGAAATTAAGGAGGGGCCGAATCTTTAAATGTTGCATAAGTTTGGGCTGTTGAGCTCTCTGGGCTTGAGAGCTTTGCTTGAAATAAGTTGTAAAAGGATCTTCTGGCCACATCTAGTCTTCTGCAGCTGTCCTTGCTCTTCTGTGGTTTGGAATCACAGGAGCAGAAGAATGAGGACTACTGTTCAGCCTACACTGTTTCCTGAAGGAGAAGCATGCCACGCATACCTGTCAAACACTACACGCACATTGTTTTGTTTTGACACCCTCTGGTTCAGTAGATGACCAGACCTGCTGTACCAAATCTGTGTGTGACAAGATTCTGGGGCAGTATCATCTTTCAGACATCCCTTTTAATTGAAGTGGAGAAGGCTGGTTTTTTTTTCTCCCCGCCCTGGTTTGTGTTCTCTTCAAGTTCCATGAGAATAGCATCTAGCTCTGGCCAAATAATATATTTGCTTGGACAGGATATAACTTTGGGCAGATATAATAAACACCTCATCAGTGAAAAGCTGATGATTATTGGGAGCTTCCTGACCTTTCTGCTGAGTCTGTCAGCCATGTCAGCATTCTCAAATGCTCCCACTTCTCTAATTTGCAAACTACTTGGGTCCAGCGTGGGAAGCCGGCAGGGGACATCCCTCGATGGAGAGCCAGGCATGCGAGAAGGTGGAGGAGATGGCAGCTGTAGCTGTATTGAGAGGGCAGATAGCAGAGAGAATCTGCGGCTATTAGGAACTTCAGAAGCCTATGTTCACCTTCAGTGATTTGGAATAGTGCATTGCACGGATGAAAACATTAGAGTGTTCATTTAATCTGCTAAATGCATAGTTGATCCCAAGGGACCTTTGGTTATCACCACTTTGGGTTAAATTTGAACTGACAGCCTAGGGATGAAACGCTCCAGATGGTGTTTCTAAGCTCTCTCAGACACCTGTTCCCCTGTTCTTACTAGGATCTTCTTCCCTTCTCCGCAACTGTGGGGATACAGGTGCATCCGCTACAGGTGTTAATGGATACAGATGATCCTTACTGGGAAGAAGATGAAAACTCTCCCCCTCTTTCTAGACAGTCAAGGAGCAGAGCGTTTCAGTTTTGGAGTCTGGGGGGACCATTGCTTTGATTTGTCCCAGCAGGAGCTGATGCAAACAGACGTGGATCAGCCGTCTTAATGATTATGCCTGTACTATAACTTGCAAGTCAACAAAAGCCATTGCTTTGTCAAAAAGACCTAATAAGATTGAGTTGAAGTGGATGTATTTGTTTATTTTTACATTTAATGTGTTACACTTGGGTCGAGGTAAGGTAAATGGAGATGATGTTACCTGAGACAAGAATCCTTGCATCATGTTCTGTGGATTATGGAAACTTTCATAAACTACAGTCTCCTGCAGGTCTTCTGTGTTGGTTAGAATTGAGGCTGCATTTCATGGAGCTTGCGTTTCAAGAGATTGTGATAATACCAAGCAAACGGCATACAGCGTTATAACTGATGATTAAAAAAAAAAGTGCCATAACAGGTTTCTGTTCCTGACTGATGTTTCAGTTATGGAAATGATCCAGTTAAATAAGACACTTCCCACGCTCTGGCATTTGGCTTAACTGGTGATGTGCCCCACACTGAGGGGGGGAGAGGGTATGTGTGTGTGTGAGTGTAGAGTGGGTCAAGAATTTGGCTAGCGTATTTAGCACTGGATACTTTTGTCCGTGATACAGAGAACCTGATGATTTTAAAGCAAACTAAAATCTATTTCAGTTGTAAGTAGGTGGTTGCAAAAGGAGGGGAGCCTAATGCAACCAAAAAAACCCGGTGGTGTCCTGGACAGAATTGCCAGGTGTGGCCTGGTTTAGTTGCCAAAGTCCAGGGATTAGTGTGACAAGTTTCAATAGATGTCAAGCTGTCTTTTTTGTAACTAGTGGAAGTATGTCATGGTAAGGACATCTCATAAAACACTGCACGTTACCTTTGTGGCACTTCACAGTAAGTAACAGCAGTGATAAAATTGGAAATGTCTTTAGAATACTACTTTAAAGGACAACAGTGATACTAGTGGTTTCTCCCAGGCTTTCTGCTCATAATGCTTCATTCATAGGTCTCTGTCAGGGTTTGCCTTGTTTGAGAATATCGGTTATTCTCCATACAACAAAGTTATCCTGATAAACCGGTATGGGTTCTGTAGTAGCTTTAGTATGTGGATTATATGCCAAGTAAAACAATTTTAGCTTCAACAGGGTCCTAACTGTGCTTTTATGTCCTGAAATACCTGAACAATGGCTCACAGCCCTTTGTTTTGGAAAGGTGAAGAGTGAGAACTGAGGCCAACAGGTAGCTGCTGCCTCCTTGCAGAACATCTCACCAAATGTGATTGCACCAGGAGAGGGCCTTGAGCTCTCTGTTCTTCCAGATGGCTGTCAATGATCCACAAACCCAGGGTGGCTGTAGGCTCCTCCTGCTGTCCACATGCTCTGTCCTTTCCCCTTTGTCAGAGGAGATAAACTTTTTCAAAAGATGGGTAAGAACTCCCTGGTTTAACCCCACTCCCCAGTACTGAATTCCTTTACTTAACTGGACTAACAAGGGAAAAGAAACCAAAATAACTTGAGTAATTCTGCTGGTAAACATCAAACATGTATTGCTGTTGTCACTTGACCTGGATTTCTATAGATGATCTTTGGGGTGGTTATCAGATAGCAGTGTGTTAAATGTGTATTGGAATGAGATTATCTACTCAGCCTCTTTCACCTGATCCGTAATGACAGGGTTTTTTCTTAGTTTCCTTGTATTAAAGGGAAAGACTGCCTTGCTAATTTTGAAGAATTTTCTAAGTTTTCTGGATTTCTAGATACAGATGGGGAATCCAGGGTTCTTACCTATAGCTGGAGTCCCTAATTCTTTGACTGTCTCTTGCGTCAAACCTGGGCGAAGCAGCCAACCATTTGACTTTAAATGGTGGAATGTTTTATTAATGAAGTTATCCAAATGTTGGGTAGCAGGAAAATCATAAATTTGCTGACAATATTGTTTCCATATTAAAAGCACAAAACTAAGCAATAATATCACCCACGAGGAAGTCTTAAATAACAGCAAAAAAAAAGCTATTCAGAACTGGACCTTGCTTAAGCATCTTTGGGAAGGTTGTGTTTTTTGATCAGTCTGACTGGGGGCATTACTTTTTTTATAACTATGTCAGTGAGTATAATGATGATGAGAAAACAGGATGTCTGGAGGAGCAGCTCCCCTCATCTGCATTCTTATTGCTGCCTCCTCCTCTCCCTGCCTCTGGACTGATCAGCAACTCTGATTTTCCCTTTTTCCCCAGAGTGACGCTGGGTTTGTGTGAGTGTGGACAAATCTCAGCTGACTGAGATTTCAGTTGTTGAAATCTGCTTAGTAGCCTTTACTGGCCTTAGGAAATACATGTAATTGTGTTGGTCTGTTTGTCCTGCAGGAGAGGAATTGCCGAGGTGCAGAGCCACAGTCCTTTACCTGGGAGCAGGAAAGGGTTCAACCCTGTGGCTATTCATTTGTTTAACCTGCAAGCTGTGTTTCCAGCTTCTATACCTAACTTTGACTCTCTTTTCGTGAGCAGTGCTTCTAAATGTTAAGGATACTGCTGGAAATTACTCGAGGCGAAAACGTCACCTGTACTTTGTACAAAAAGTGCTGTAAATAATTTTTAGTAAAACCTAATTCTTAGACAAAGACATACTGACTGTGTATGAAAATAACGCTTTTGAAAGGTACTACTGTAGGAACCTAAGACTAGTGTTACTTTTCTAGTTACTAAAACTAGTGTTAATGTAACTGCCTCACAGCTCATTTTGAAACTCTGATAGCCTATAGTAAGTAGATAGCTGCTGCTTTATATTTAGTGACTTAGTTTCTTCAAACCCCTGTCCAAAGTGCTTATGTAGTCAATTTCTGTATGTTGGAAAAAATCTCTTTCCCTAAAAGCTGAAGCCTTTATTTAGTAAAATGTAATAGGGTGTTATGTCTATATGTTGTAAATCTGAGCAAAACATCTAAGCATCTATCACATAAACTGCTGAGAACTTCAGTGTCTTGCTATAGCTTTCTTTAAAAAAGATTAATTTTATTTTCATAACATTTTTCAGCACAAAGGATACAAATAATTATAGAAATACTGTGGCTTTACAGTTGAAAAATAAGTCAGTTGATGCAGAAAAGAGGCTAAAGTTTTGGGGTTTGTTGTTTTAAAATAGAAGGACCTGTATTTCACTGTTGTATCTGGAGTAGTTCATTATAGTAGTAACTACAATTCATGTAGAGACTAGCTCAAGGAATTTGGTTTGTCCATTAGCTAAGTAAGAAGTAGCACAAAGTAGTGTAGTTCTGTGCTGAACAATATTTTACTTTTGATGAAATAGGTTATCAGCTAAGAAATTGGGAACTGCCTAGTGACCTTTTATGTGAATCTCTTTCAGGCACCTTTTTGGGCATACATCCTGGGTGCATTAGGACTTTTTGTCTACCAGTCTCTGGATGCCATTGATGGGAAGCAAGCCAGAAGAACAAACAGTAGTTCTCCTCTAGGAGAACTCTTTGATCATGGTTGCGACTCTATTTCCACAGGTAGCCTTAACCTACTGTTACCCATCCTAGTTTTAAAATAGTTACCTGTTTTCAAGGGGAGCTGTTTAATCACAGATTTGTTGAAGTTGGAAAGGACCTCTGGAGATCATCTAGTCCAACCATCTGCTCAGAGCAGGGTCAGCATTTTCCCTCCTTTTAGGGTAATGTCACCATCTCCTGGTCACTGTAGCCAGGGCTCCCCCCGACCTTGCACCCCTGACCAGTATTGGGGAGGATATTTCAGAATCTACCTTTGGCAGATGTTGGGTAACATGTGTTCTGCTCATGTTTACGTCTTCACAGACAGTGTCCTTTGAATAAACTAGCAAAGAATTCCATAAGGCCATGCTTAGAGATTCTTTAGGATATATAGCCTGGGTTTTCCAGTAGAGTACAGGTGATGCCTAATAAAGAATTACAAGGACCTAAAAGACTGGTGCTGGCATGTGAAACTAAGGATTCTGCTTTAGGAGTGAGGTGCTAAAATACCAGTTTGGTAATAGGGCATCCAGCTGGGTACTTAGGAGAAGGATAACTTATATTCCATAGAAGAATGAGTTTAAAGACCAGTTGATTGGGAGTCCTTAAAAAGTCAGCCTTGCTCAGTTTTACTCTCCATAACTTAGCTGCTGCTGGTGGAAACGCCTGTACTGCTGTAAAAGGTTAATGGCTGAAGCATTTGCCCTGGGAGTCAGTATGTTCTTTATGCCTCACTCCCCAGAGTAGTGCAACTACCGGTCTCTCTGAGCTGGGCCCTTCAGTGGATGCTGTCAGTGATACAAAGACCATGAGATGACAAGGTCAGAAGAGAGAGAAGGACCACTGTAGGCTGGGAGGCAGGGCCCTCGCTTGGAAGAAAGGGAGACCTGTGTTTTGGTGTCTCCTGCCAAGCCTGTCCCTGAGGTTAGCTACTCAGTAAAGTTATCAGTCACAGTGTTACTTTGTTACAGTGATATAAAATGCCTTGTGATTTATATTTTTATTTCTCTTAACTGCAAGCAAAGAGGGTGTATGACTAACATGTTTGTTTCTGCCTTTCAGTTTTTGTTGTCCTTGGATCCTGCATAGCAATCCGACTAGGAACAAATCCTGACTGGTTGTTTTTCTGTTGTTTTGTGGGACTGTTCATGTTCTATTCTGCTCACTGGCAGACATATGTATCAGGCATACTAAGGTTTGGAAAGTAAGTAGGTATCCTTAGAAGTACACCTGGCTTACTGTCTGAGACTGCTACCTACCTGATTTCTGTTTCTTCTTGATTTTTTTCCCCCTGCTCTCTCTTCCTATCGCCTTCTTCCTCATCTCCCTTCCGCCCTGGCAGGCTTGTGTTTGACCTGGCAAGAACTTTAAAACTCTGCCTAATACCGAGTAGAGGACTTGATCTTTTCGCAGCTGATTTTAGCTGTATGTGCTTTGTTTGCATGCACTGCTCTTCTGTCTGCAGATTTGTCCTGGGGACCCATACTAGCACTATGTAGGCTCAGGCCAGAGGGGTCTTGCCTGCAGTGTGATCAAGTGCTGTGTGTAGGAGCAGGGACAGAGCAAGCACCTGTGGTACCACAGTACCTCCCTTTGTGACCTCCCAGCCACAGAACACTGTCAGCCCGCGGGACTCTGAACCACATACATTTTTAGAGGAAATTCCCCTGCTAATGAGTTTCCCTTCCATAGACATCTTCAGTCTTCCTCCCGATGAACTCTCTGCAGCCATTGAGTCCTTTGGCAAGGAGTTCCACAGAACTTGAAGAATTACCCCCAAGTTCATTTTGAGGGATCTGCTTTTAATCTGTCTCGTGCTGGCTTTGATTGTCCTTTAGGTTTTGTGTTAGGTCACAGTTCTAGAGATTGCTGTGATGCTGTTTATGACTTGGTAGTTCTTACTGCAGTGTAGGAGGAGGAGTCATGACATTCATGTAGAAGATAACAATTTCAATTTAACTCCTTAATAGCGTGGTGCCTAGCCTTAGCTGTTTTTCAACAACGAGCTGCACTTTAATGATTTCTGAAAAAAGGAAAAGATCAGAGGCTTCTGTAGCAGGAAAACTGGAAAGAAGTGCTGTCCTGCTAATCCTAGGCACTTGCTAAGTCACCTGTTCATAGTCCTGCTTAGCTCTGACCTGCAGGAAGCCCCTGAGCAAATCCGAGCACGCTGGGCACACGGGGCTGTCTTTGCATACTGTTTCGTGTTTGTCTCTGTGGTAAGGCTAAGAGCTCTTTTTTTATTTGCTGATAATGCATTTTACCACACAATCTATAACTCTTCTACCTGCCTACCCATCCTCCTCTTTTTTAATGGACATCTTGTGCTGTAAACAAAAATAGATGCTTTAGAATTATGGTTGAAATGGGATCATTTCCACCCATGGCAGTGGGCTCTGCTGAAGGGAGAAGGACTATGCCATGAGCTCTGGCATTTTGCTTACATGGTTGCTTTTATGTGCCTTCTCATTCTTTCATAAAATGTGAGAACGATTTCCATACACGAGGAAGGCACTATACCAACATAAAAATTTCTTCATTAAAAATTTAATGGCTTCTATGTAAATATAGCGACAGTGCATAGTGCGAGCAATTTGAGATGGCCTGGTGTTCCACACTTACTGTTTCCAGTTAAAAAGAGGCAGCTTTTCTCCAAGATAACTTATTTCTCTTTAGTCAAAACAGGTCAGAGTTTTTTCAAGGCTCGCAATTTTATTTCTCTTAAGCATAGAGGCGAGAGTCTAAATGAAGGCATTAGTATATTGCTCTAATTGTGCTAATACATAATAACATGGACAGAGGCTTTCACTGATGCCATTCCTGAACTAGCAGTGCTTGATTTGAGAAGTCAAACAAGAGGGGAGAGAGAGCCCTAGCGCTGGTGGCCAGGGAGGAGCAGAGGAGCTGGGTACCGTGCCCCTCTCAGGTGATGCAGAATACTGCACAGCAGCTGAGTGACATCTTTGGCCTCTGATTCGGGCCCTGTTGCAACCAACAGCCTGAGCCTCTGCAAAATGAAGTACTAAACTTTGGCACATACAATGACTCAGCTTCAAGTTCGAGCCTCCTCCTGCCACCAGCAACAGCGAATGCAGCTCAGCTTAGAAACGCTGGGTTTCATGGTACGAAACACTTGCACTTGCATGTGGACGCTTTTGCATGAGGTAACCATCAAGTTGAGTGTGCAGGAACAGCAATGAGCGGGCAGAGGTGACACTTCAGCCCTGGCAGAGAGGGCAAAGCCTCCTCCCAGCAGCGCTGCCCCTCTTTAATTGACAGACTCTTTAATTGACTTCAGGCCAATTAATGAAACGGGCAGAAGATGAAAAGCCTAGGCTGGGTTAGCCAGCGGAACTGGTTCACCTCACAGTCCCATGAGCAGAAGGTTCACCTCGCAGTCCCATGAGCAGAAGAGCTCGTACGGTGAGGGGGCCCAAGGGCGTAGGAAGGAGAGGACCACCCACTCCAATGGCTTTCAGCAGCGACCAGCACCGCAGTTCGTCATCTATTTGCAGCTTCAGCTTTGGCTCTTCGCAAGCTAAGTCTGAAGCTTGTGACGAAACTTTGCCTATTTTATCCCTGCCTTTCTGATGAGAGAAGGGAGTTTATTATAGTTCCTCTGATTATCGAGATGGGATAAATGTTTTCCATCAGCCAAGAGCTGATTCCTGTCTCCCTTTAAAAATACACGGTTTCAGGTGCAAACAGTTCACTTTGCTCATAATACCTTAAAACTGCAAATTTATTATAACCGCTTAAAGAAACTGTTTAAACATCCATTCTCACTGTTTACCAGTAACTCCAGTACAAAGATCAGGTACCTGTCTCAAAACCTTTAGTAGCATAAAAGGAACCCTAGATGCACATTTATTTTACTTATTTTCAAGCTTTATTGAAAGTATTGATTTTTTTTTTTTTCCTCTTGAGTCTCTGCTTAACTTTTTTATATACATTCAGGTCTTCTCAAAATATTTAATCAATCAAATACAGTAATAAAGAGTTGGCTGTCTTGTCTGAGAAAAAAAAGGTGGAATACAGAGTCTTGATGGCATACAAGGCACCCTATTTTAATTTTTTTTTTTTGTGGAAAAGAGCAAGATATTAATTACATGTCCTCTGAAGCAGGACAGATGCTTAGCTGTCCCCTCAGTCCTCAAAATACTGCTTTTATGTTTTGCAGGCTGTATCTGTCAAGCTTTCATGATACGATGGCTTAAAGAAATCTCTTCTGTCCCCTCTGCTTTTCAGAGTTCATACTTATATATGATATTCTTTTAATGGAAATGTTTGATTGTGCTTACTGTGAGCTTGCCTTAAACTTTGATTTGATACCTACGCATCAACGTCTGTAAATGTATACAAAATTCTCAAATAGTTAACAATGTATTCTTTAAAGATTCTCCCCCTATTAAAATTATATGTAGCTTGCTCTAGATAAGGAATATAGATTTAATTTTAAATCTTAGCCAAAGATGTGTGCCTCCATATAATAGAGTACCATTCTCAGTCGAGGAAAATCATATTCTACATACATTGAAGGAGTAATCTAAAGGAGATAATTTATAGTCAGTGTTCCCTCCTGCTGCCTTGCACTTACAGCAAAAAGACTTTTTCTTTAACTAAATCTCCTTTCTTTTGTTTCCTTGATAGGGTTGATGTCACTGAAGTTCAGATAGCCATAGCAGTGCTGCTCTTGATGTCTGCCTATGGTGGCACAGCAATATGGGACTATAAGGTAAGGCTATGAGGCACTCAGAGTTCCTGTTCAGCATTCACCGTTCCTACGGGATTTGCAGCTCTCCTCTGCCAGTCCCAGCAACACCTACTGGTTGTCTAACGTTCTGGTTTAGCTCATTGTACAAATGTAGGTTATTTTTATGTTGTAGTTGACTTAGGTATAATGGTGTGACTTCCTGTGCCCAAATCTAGAGCTACGTAGAGGAAAAAAGACCCCATCTGCCACGTATGAACTTCTGATCTGGAACTAATACTTTGCAGCTACTTCAGCTTTTACAAATATTTTTTTGTTCTAGTTTTATTTCTTTTGTATATTTTACTGGAAGACATACATTCCTGTTGGCAAATGACTTACAGAATGCTTTCTTTTAAAATTTAAAGATTAAATGCTTTAATCTAACCAAACCATAGGATGGAGTTAAGGGGTTTTTGGTGAAGTAATCCATATTTATGTGCTGATGGATATATACTGATTTTTAACAGTTATGTCACAGCTGATATAAATTTAACTAAAGAATTATTTTTCTATCCAAAAGCATTTCTCTGTCTCTGGGTTTTATTCTGATCTTTCAAGTTGCACTTCAGTGGATGGGATCAAAAGTGTATTAGACCAGTATCTTCATCTTTGCTAGGGTCTTTACTCAGACGTGTGAAGTTCTGCGTGGTTATAGCGCATGGAAGAGCTGAGACTGTTCCATGCTGCTGATGACCACTGGGAATTAATCTAAATATAACCCACCAAGTAATTCAAATTAACACGAGTTTACTCAGCAGTTAAAGAATTGTGTAGCTAAACTTTGTTTCCCTCCCTCATCCTGCAAGACACTTTTGTTCTATTTTCAAACAATTTATTTTCAATTTGGAAAATGAAGTCGGTGCATTAGACTTCAATTATGATTGATTTTTCTTCAGTATTAAGAGCTATGGTAGTTATGCTGTATCTCAAAACAATCTATATTCAAAAATATAGTCAATGGTTTCAATTTATTACTACTTCTGTTTTTTTTAAATCCTCTGCTGCCTTTGGAAGTTTTCCTTGAAAGCGCAATTGATTCTGAAAGGTAACTGTTTAATTAAAATTTGTATCTGGAGACTCTTCTGAATGTAAAGATACAGCATACAGACAACGTGTACCAAAACACAAGGCGGGCAGATGGTGTTTGTGTTTCCTGTGGCTCAGTATTGTGTTACCCAGTGAAAGAGAAGGCGCTGTCCTTCTCCCCCCTCCCGTGCCCTGGGGATGCAGTGGGCTGTGTCGTATTTGTGTGTACCTAGTAAAAATATTTGGAGACCATCCTAAGGACAAACGCAGTGAGATCTAGCTGAATTTCAAGACCAGAACTTAAGAACTCAAAAATCGAGTTTAAACATTACAAAAGAAATCCATCATCTCCTTAGTAAGGAAACGAATTCCAAACACTCTCCTCCAGAGCTTGTTCCCGGGAAAGCAAGAGTTCAAATGAAACAATTGTTTAGTAGGTATCAGTAGCTTTTTAAATCACTTTTTTTAAAAGTTGTTATTCTTAGTTTTAATATCTTTCTCTTGGTTTTCCTTTTAAGGTCCCTGTGGTGGGCTTAGAACTGAAGTTCTTTGCAGTTTTTGGCATACTGTGTGGAACAGCACTTTCTTTTTTCAATTACTTCCGTGTCATCTTTGGCGGAGGGGTTGGAAAGAACGGATCCACCATAGCAGTAAGTTGCTTTAAAAATCAGAATGAGTTGATCCTAAGGGTTTTATCTGTTTAAGCATTTAAGCAGACAAGCAGATGAATGTTGGATGGCTAAAGCAAAACTTTATTATCTACATTCTCCCTACCTGGTACTGGATTCCTTCTATTGCAGGAACCAGCAATGAATTTTCTTACAGAATTGATTAGCGGTCTCCGCAAACGATACCGATAGCACTGGCATAATGCTATCTGCAAACGATACCGATAGCACTGGCATAATGCTAATGGGCTTTCCCTGAGTTTTGATAACTCTGATTTAGTTAAATAGGATTTACAATACATATAAAATCTGGATCTTACTGTGTGACTCGAGCCTAAAACAAACTTTCTTTCCATTTGCATTTCAGGGAACAAGTGTTCTCTCACCAGGCCTGCACATTGGACTGCTCATCACACTGGCCGTTATGATCTATAAAAAGTCTACAACACAGCTGTTTGAAAAACATTCTTGCCTGTACGTCTTGACATTTGGAGTTGTGAATGCTAAAATCTCTCAGAAGTTGGTGGTAAGGAATCTTGTTTGCAGTCCTAAACCTCCTAAAACTAAACAGTAATGCAGTGTCATGGTTCCGGCTGGGACAGAGTTAACTTTCTTGCTAGCTGCTGGGGGAGTGCTACGTTTTGGATTTGGGAGGAAAATAGTGTTGGTAAAACACAATGGTTTTAGTTGTTGCTGAGCAATCAAAGCCTTTTCTGCTCCTCAGAGCGCCCCACCAGTGAGGGCTGGGGCTGCACGAGGAGTTGGGAGGGGACACAGCCAGCTGAGCCTGACTGTCCCAAGGGATATTCCATACCATGTGACATCCTGCTCAGTATATAAAGCTGGAGGAAGGAGGAGAAAGAGGGGAGATGTTTGGAGTGATGGTGTTTGTCTTCCCAAGTAACCATTACGTGTGATGGAGCCCAGCTTTGGGGATGGCTGAACAGCTGCCTGCCCACGGGAAGCAGGGAATGAACTCCTTGGGTTGCTTTGCTACACACACAGCTCTTGCTCTGCCTGTTAAACTGTCTTTATCTCAACCCACAACTTTTTCCTCACTTTCACTCTTCTGACTCTCTCCGCCGTAGCAACTGGGGACTGAGCGAGTGACTGTGGTTCAAGTTGCTGGTTGAGGTTAAACCACAACATCCAGGCAGCTGGTCTATTACTTTTTTTTTTCCCCTGGCACAATATTTTTCAAAGAGCAACTGGGGGACTGAGCGAGTGACTGTGTGGTTCAAGTTGCTGGCTGAGGTTAAACCACAACATCCAGGCAACTGGTTTATTACTTTTTTTTTCCCCTGGCACAATATTTTTCAAACAATAGAAACTGATAATTCTACAGACTTTGTTGCTAAACACTGAGCTACTGATGTGGTTCACGAGAGAGAATGCTGATGAGAAGACTGAGCCTTAAGATCAAACTTGAGGCAGTTGATGTATTCTGTCAGACACCTTGGCTCCCCCTTGCTCCTTCAGAGGAGCCCTGGGTCCTTCTAACCAGCAGCCATCACTCTATCTACGTCAGCTCATGGATGGACATTTCTGAGCAAACCATGTTTCCTTTGATGCTTTATGTTTAGCTTCAAGTACAATCTTCTCCAGAGACAAACCTGTAAAGGCAGCGGAAAAGATTTTCGTGGGTTTGGTGCGCTCAGTTTTCTGATACTGTTTCAGGAGGCCTTGTCCTACCTTCACTCTGCAGTGAGCAAACGGCAGTAAAAACTTAAGGTGTGGGCAGGTGGGAGGCCCAGTGGAGATACCAGCCAAGGTCTGTGCAGGTTGTGTGGATGTGCCAGAGCTGTTCCACGGGTGCTAATAGGGGTGCTGTTGCACATCTGGCCAGATGTGAGCCAGGAACTGCTCCCTACAGCTGATCCCTTTAGCAGAATTGCACCCTTTGTTGGCTTAGAGTGGAAGCTTTTGTGGATTGTCCTCTCTCTAGACTGGGACACTCACAGGCTTTTCTGTGAATTTTGCTGGGCAGTGTAGAGTTGAACGTGATTTATGTTATGCTAAGAGATCACTTTCTTCACAGGAACTTCTCAGTACCTTAATCATATTTGCCAGGTGTCCACAACGTGTGGAAACAAGGAATGACAGGGTGATTTCTTACGGCAAACTTGGCACTTAGACTACTTTCCTTCTATTTTTGAGCTTCTTGGTATGGACTCTTTATATGTCCCTTATTAGATCTCCAGCTTTTTACAAAATGCTCTTCTTCTGCCTCTCAATTAAAGGTGAACTGAAGTTGTCTCTTAAGAATGCTAAATATGGAAGGGTCAAGGTGTGTGTGAGGAAGAGATTAGTTCCATCCCTCCAGTAACCTTTCTTCTCTTGGTCATTCTGTAGTGTCCCTCTGCGTGTGTGTCCCTCTACTAAACAGTGAAAATGAGTCCTGTCACCGAAGCAAAAGCCTAGATTCTTGTTAGCTTCTGGCTAAGTTCAGCCGAAACTTTCATGTTAGACTTGTAAGGAACATTTCAAGTGAGCAGAGTTAATTTTCAGCGTTACACTTGCATAGTCCTACCCTTCAGATACAGCACTGAAAATACAGAGTGGGGAACCCCTGGAAGTGGCTAAAATGCCCTGGTATAGATGTAACCTATTACAAAAGAACACTGAAGGACATGTACGCATTTTTTAAGAAAAAAAAAAACAACCCAACTGATAATTCAAGTAGCTGTCACCACTGATAAAGTGCTATATAGTGATTGAATAACCTGGGAAGAGGTTACTTGGTCCTTGGGAGGGAAGCTGTCTGGGAGCAGGTCGCTGCAGGGTAAGGATGTGTCCTGGTTTCAGCTGGGATAGAAGTAGGGTTTTTTCTACGTGGTTGCCGTGTCTTCAGATTTGGTATGAAAGGTCAATACTGCATACTCTTTTAGCTGTTGCTGAGTGAAGGACTTTTTTCAGCTTCCCATAGACGTTGAGAAGGAGCACAGACAGACCAGTAGAATGGCCAGTGGAGTGTTCCATAGCATAGACATCACGCTCCATATATAAATGGGGACTGGCTGGGGTGGGGGGTGAGGGGAGCAATTCACCATCTCTGCTTGGGTCCAGCTGGGCACCAGGCAGTGAGAGCGATTTGTGGTTTGTATATTCTTTTATCATTATGATTATTTTTATTTTCCTTTCTTTTTATTATTCTATTAAATTGTCTTTATCTCAACCCATGAGGTTGGGGTTTTTTTTCCCTTTCCCTTCCTTTTCTCCCTCTTCTCCCCACCTTTCCGGGAGGCGAGGGGGGATGAGCGAGAGGCTTTATGGTTCCAGCTGCTGGCTGGGGTTAAACCATGGTGGGATGTCCTGCCCTTTCATCACCAAGGTGGAGGCTTCCTGGTAGTTAGCTCATCTCTTGTCTCTCTATTTTTTCTTCTTTGTGTTGTTGTTTAACATAGGTGGCTCACATGACAAAAAGCGAAATCTGTCTTCAGGACACTGCATTTATTGGGCCAGGACTTCTGTTTTTGGACCAGTACTTCAACAGTTTCATCGATGAATACATTGTCCTATGGATAGCCCTGGTAAGCGGTCCGTTTTGTACTTCTCATGTGGAGCACACTTAGAGGAACGGGTTGAGCACTGTCCCCTGTCCCTCTGCTCTGCCACTCCTGGCCTGCTCAGGTGTCAGCTGGCAGAGGGGCGGGAGCACCAGGCAGGATGCCACGCAAACGTGTGTTTTGGGAGCTGAGTGGCTTGGCTTTCCTTGGAACAGAGAGATGAAAGGAAATTTACAGATCTGTCTTGTAATTCTGCTTTAGTTCAGGTGATCTGTTTATTCTGCTAACTGCAGACTCACCACCTTTGTTTATCAGACTTCGTGTTTATTGCTGTTTGGTTTTGGGCCTGGTTTTTTGGGTGGTGTTTTTTTTTTTTGTAAACAGACCACTGTATGAGTTAAAAATCTTGTTAAACTTGTCACTTGGATAGATTGATTAAAGTATAGATGAATTTATAGTAGGGACAATATAAAAACTATTTGTTATTTTTAACCTGTTCTGTTTTGTTCTTTTGAAGTTCATATCCTTGTTTGATATGCTGAGATATGCCACTGGTGTGTGCCTACAGATTGCTGCTCATCTTCATATACATGTCTTCAGAATTTCATCTCATCAAGCTCCTGAACAGGTTCAAAACCATAATGACTGATTAAATAGGTCAAGGCCAAGAGGAGAAGCAGTTAGGGGAATGCTGAATGAAGCAGCCTCTCGTTTTTGGGAAGACAGATTAAGCTTTTTGAGTAACTAGCTCTGTGAGAAAGCTCACTCTATCCCAGATACTACCAGATGTTAGAATTACTGAATGTGAAGTCCTGCAGATTCTATTGTGATCAGTACATTTGAATCAGGATGTATTTCCCTCTGTGTTCCAGACATTGCAGCTGTTATTTCATACCATGAACATCCCATTTGAAACTTGCCATTCCCTGTTAGGTAAACTTCATTCTGCACTTCTGGTCTGGTGCCTGTAGACTGCAAACCGAGGTGCTACCAACCAGAATTTGAGGAGGAATTTTGCTTTCCCCCGAGGCAGAGTGACTCATCTAGCGTTAGTTTCTAAAGTCTTGTTGGAACTGCTGTGAAGGGGTAGGCAGAGGTATCAGTGAGTACACTGCTACATTATTAAGACTGGTAAAATGAGGCTTCTGTGAGGTAAAACTACTCATTAATCTCTGTTCTGGTATTTCTAAAGAACAAACTACTGGATCAGTAGGATGAAGGAGGTACAGCTCAGGAAATTTTTCTTCTATTTCAAAATCCTGTTACTGAGTGCCTTTAGGATTCATGCATTCGCTAGTATTTAAGTATATAACCTATTTTCAAGGCCAGTTTCTGGTTTTGTGGTCATATTAAGGTTGGCCTCATTGTACTGATTATTATCCAGACCATAGGTAGTTGTGTACTTCAGGGACACTGACTTTGCCCACCCTAACTGCTATCTGTGAAACTGCACGAGAGAATGACAAAGCTCTTTGAGAAACTTTGAGACTGTGACAATGCAACCCACCCATATGTTACTCCCTCTGAAGTATGTTCAGCTACTTTATCATCTATCTAATGTGTTTGGAACTGGCACTGTACTTTATCCAAACAAAACTGCATGGAACTAAACCTTAACTAAACTCTCCTACAGAGAAAGTCAGGCCCAGCATCAGCCTTTCTCTCTCTTTGAGAACAGACCCTCTGGCTGACATACCATACCATACAATACCATGCCATGCCATGCCATGCCATACCAAGCCAAAGGGCTGCTGTTGTCATTAAAGAAAAGCTGAGTAAGAGTAGCTTAATTATCTGTACGAGCAAATCATGACTTGTACACAAACCCTCTAAGCTTAACCTCCTTTGAAGAGGAACTATTTGAATACGATTTTTGTAAAAAGCTGTTGAATGTTTCTGTCTGTTACCACTTTCAGTTGCTGATATAGAGCTGAGCTGTGAGTTTATCAGGTCCTTCCTGAATTGTACAATAAAGAATGCTATGGTTTGTTATAAAATATTACCACTGCAGCTTCCTAGGTGTGCATTAATTTAAAAAATGGTGTATTGTCTGCTAAATTTGGGGAGAATAAAATCCCATCTACCACGCTCCTGCTTAAAAAGGCTATACTGATACACTTGAGGGATAATAACTGTAACAGTTACTGCCAAGGACTAGCACTCTGAAGTGACTAATACCAATTCCAAATGAATCCTACTGCTCCTGTTTGAGGCCAGGAAAGACCCAGCATCTATACGTGACCTTAGCCTGAACCCAGGCCAAATCCAAGAGAAGATGGTAAAGACCATTTCAGTTTGTCTGAATACTGTAAACAAATTACCTACCCCATGAAAAGACACAGACAACTTTTTTAGAGCGAGGAGGTTTGATTGCCCAGAATGCTCAAAAGTGTGTCAGGTAGTAGCAGGTGTAAGTAGTTTTGAGGATACGATTGAGGTATGTGGGTGATGGGAAACTAATGCAGAAACCAGTCAGAAAACCAGAAACAAGAGGCCATACTAATAAATAAAACCAGAAACATGAGGCCATACTAACAAAATAACCTAGTATTGAAGAAAAGAAGCAAAAACTTAACTGCGTTTCATAGCATCATGTGATCATCCCTAGAGGGCTGAGACTCAGCAGCACAGTTACAAATGAGCATAGTGACCCCTTACCCACCAGAGCTCACACCTCCTTCTAGCGATGTAACTTCTGTGTTTGCTCCTTCCCCGAGTCCTAGGAGATGCAGAACAAAAGGAGCTCCAAACCAGTTGCTTGTTCAGCTTCACTTGCAACCTAACAGCTGAAGCATATCTAATTTAGCTATCAGTCATCTGGCTCCCAGAGCTGGAGAACCATCATCAAGTGACTTGATTCTCAAATAAAAACCCTAGTAAGCTGAGGAGAAGAATCTGTATTGGACTGGTTTTGAAATACATTGTTACGAAAACATCACATTTGTGTGTGTGGGTGCGTGGCTGGTGTTTGTGTTACCTACTGTTGTATTAAATCTAAGTGTTAAATATGTTAGGAACTACCTAAGTTGTACAAGTGGATATTCAGATGTAATGGTTTTCTGTAAAAACAAACTGCATGCAAGTTAAGGCCACTGTTTAATTTATACTGATTTACTGTAATGAGTTACATGAAAGATAAATGCTTTTTATCCTTAAAACTTTGGCCTCCCTAAATTGCAAAAAGTAATATTCCACCTCAAAGGCTTGTAATAACTTGTACTAAATGGATGAGCTAGATTACTTCTAGCAGTGGTTCTACAAGAAACATATACCCCAAAATGCATAATGTTTAATTATGCTTACTTAAGCAGATATCATTTAAAGCTGTGATCCTTAGCTCATCATTCAACTAAAGAAACCTGTGTTTTTGAGAAATTACAGCAGTTCGTAAACCTCTTACTAGTACAAAGATACTACAATGCCTAGGCTAACAAGAGTTAACAAAATTTACTTTATTTACTATAATACACATCATTAAACAATCTTACATGAGCTATGTCATACTCTGTGAACGTTCATAACTGCTGATACGTCAGCAGACTAAATCTTGAGCCTATGAAAGTCAGAAGCATTTTTCACAAGCTGCAATTTGCACAGTGTACCTACAGGTATTTTGTAAAATCTGGGTAATGCATTTTTCATTAATTCTGCCCATCGTTACAGTTTGGCATTATAAAAAGTGAAACAATTTAAACAGTCCAGTGCTATTGAAAGTGACTATTAAGTAGTTAAACATTAATTGGACAGACAGTAAATGGTTTGGGGTCCATACCTCCCCTCCAAAGTAAAAAATTTAATAATATACTTTCTTACACACTGTCAGACACAAGATTAAGAACAATCCATGAAAGCGTTTAGTAGGAACTTTAAAACATTTAAATCTTAACATACTTCCCTATGGCTAATGCCTATACTTGTATCGTGTTACTTAGGTACAAGTTGTTTCTCCATTGAGCCATCAGAATAACATGGACTGAAGAGACTTGCGAACGGTTGCCATCTCCTGCTGTTGCTGTTACGAGAAAAGGAGATAATACTGAACAAATGCCGTATCACTATGATTCCTTTCAGCTAATTAAATAAACGACAAATGACTTTTTTATAGAATGTTCTATTTTTGCATTTAACTTCTTGCTAGATCTGATACTTACGGTGTCCATCATAATCTTCTTCTGCAAGAGAGCCATTTCTTTGCGAAGTTCACTTTGAGCACCAGCTAGAAGATTTTCATTGCTCTTCTCCAGCTCTTCCATGCTCTGGAAGGATAATCTTAGTTTAGAACTGTTCAATGTTTCTCCAGCTCTTCCATGCTCTGGAGTTAAGGATAATCTTAGTTTAGAACTGTTCAATGTCAAAGGGTTCACTTAAGAGAAACAAACCAACCATTATTCAGACTACAATTTAATTTTTACAGCAGCAGTGGTCACTGATAATTGATGAGTTTTGATCAGGCAAATCATACAGGAGCCCTTACTCCAGTCCACATTCCTACTTAAACCATACTATTAAACAATATAGACCCCGTGAAAGAAACAGTCCCCTCCACTCAGCATCTGTGAGGTCTCAGCTCGTTAATCCTGCACCTCAGGAAAGGTAAGAGTTCTACAAGAAAAGAGTAGACAGACCATCTGTGAGGAACCATAGGGTTCAATATTATGACAACCTTGGAGACTCGAAGTAAGGACTGTAAAACCCATTAAATTGCCTCCTCTTTGCACACTTCTCCCAGATAAGCCAAGAAAAGCTCGCTGGTTACCTTCCCTTTTGTAGATAGAGTTATGCCCAATTCTACTGGTTTGGATTTCTAATGCCTTACTTAGAAAAACTGGGGGAAGGAGATCTGAGAATAAAGTGTTTTGTTCTCTAGTCTAAAATGACAGGGAAAACGGGGGGTGGGGTGGGTGGTTGGTTGTTTTTTTTGAACCAAAAGTCAATTTTTTGAGTAGTTTTAGTCATAACCATTTTTTGTTTGCTGTCTAGTATGCTTGCTACTTTGTTAAAAAAAAAAACAAACACAAAAGCACCACAGTTGATCAGTATGAATCATGTGTTTAAAATACATTATCTCTGTAAGCACTGTTTAAAAAAAAATAAATGGTGTTTGTAGGGACTCCCAGCAAATACAAAAATTACGTATAAAGCAACAGGAAAGTTAAACAAGCCTGATCTGGGCCTGTTTTCACCATAAATCATTATTTCGTTCAGATTCTTCCTGTTGACATTTTAGTGAACGCTTACTTTTAAATACTAGGTTCCAGAAAGGAAAACCCTTCCTAAGGAATGTTGTTTAGAAAGAGATGAAGGGAGCTCTAACTGGGCAATTTTAAGGGAACTACAATTGATTTTCTTTAACAGTCACTTTCCTTACATGAAGCAGTAATGGCTAGAAAGGTTAATGACAGAAAAACATTGGTATCTAATTCTCATTATGAAGGATGCACCTGCCAGGCAATAAAAGCAGCCTAAAATGTATTTTTAATAGATTGCCAAGTTTCACTTTTTTAAATACAGACCAAAAATCTAAGGGAATAGTTAAGACAAAATCCTGATGATTTAACTGATCTATATAACTTTTAAGCTGGTACAAAAATGTGTTCTGTTTAGAAACTATGCTGTGGGGGTCGTGGTTAAATATTTGAAACAGGCAGATCCCTGTAAGAACATATTTAACTAAATCATTTATTCAACAGATGCAATCTGTATGCATGTACAGAGAGAACAAGCCATGTTCTTAACAAAGGAAAGATACTAACATGAATATTCACAGCAGGCTGTTATTTTCCTTAAATGAATCTTACATCTCTGTATTTCATGAATTAATATAGCTTTCTTAAATGCTGTGATAAGGATGAGCTGCCCTCTGAGAAGAAAAATTACTGTACCTTTGAAAATTGCTCATAGAGTTGCTTAATGCTTTTCAGTCTCTGACTCTGAAGTATTCTTGCCTGTTGAAAAACTTTTTGTTGCTGACGAAACATATTCTGAAGCAGAAACAAAAGAAAAAAAAATAAATCCCGTTAGTTAACCAAAAGCCCTTGGACAGCAACACTATTGTCACAAATTAGAATCAGAAATTTCTGCCTTTACTGGAAATCTGGGTCACATAATGTAGATCTCTGCCTGGAGAGTTTTTCTTGTTCTTATAAATGAAAGAAAGACTGAAGACTAGATTATGCCCTGGCTCACGTGGTGAGGTCCCTTCCAACCTGAGTTATCCCTATGAGATTCTATGAGAATTGCTATCCAACTCAGTCCTCGGGGGTATCCCAGGGAAACGTGCTGCTGAGGGAAAAGCAAGACTTGCAGATGTGTTGGGAGTACAAATACAGCAACATCATGCGATTACATTCCATTGTATTGCTCCTGTGCCCTTTCAGTGATCGGATTCTCTTGCATTTATTATATACAGGCAAATTTTGAAGCAATGCACGCTAAAAGACAACTACTTTCCTTTACTCCTTTGTTCCCTGAACCCAAAGACTATGGATGCACAGAAACAGCACATCTCTTTCTTCTCCATAAATGGTCTTGGCTTTTCCCAATCCACATGCTGACCTAGGGCATCACTTATTGCCATTTCTAAATTTGCAATAAAGTTTATAAATGCACCCCTCTTCACTTTAAAAATATATCCCCAAACTTAAACATTTACAGTTTGAGAGCCACCAAACTTGAAGGAAATTTTTTTTAATCAAGAGGCAAACAATTGTATGTTTCTTTAAACTGCATAAAGTGCTTTTACATTTCTTGAGTGTCTAAACAACAATATTCCCTCCTTGTGAAAATACCACCAAACTCCTGCCACGCTGGAAACCCACCACTAGCTTTTCTTCCTGCTCCTCTGCTTTCTGCACATCGACATCCCATTGCTGGAATAAAGTCAGGAACTGCTGGGAGAACTCGTGATTGAGCTTCTGCCTGTAACGAGACACGAGCCGTAAGTATGACAAATGCCATGAAGAACTACAAGGAAAGCTGAGGTTCAACACACACGTGGAGTAGAATAAAAGGAGCTGGCATAGATAAAGAAACAGGCTGTTTTGACATCTGGCCCTAACTGAATACTGTATGTTTTGAAAAATTGAAGATTCACACACACACACACAGACACACACTTTCTGAGTGAGTGTGGATTATATACATGTAAAGAGACGGCACTCGTATACGAAACTCAGGTGAAAAAAAAATTACATCAACCTTTCTTCCTAACAGTGCCAGGTTTTCTGAGATTTACTGTATTTTTCTAACCCGACTACAGATCTTGGCTTTAACACAAGGGGTTTACAATAAAAAAATCAATTAGTTCATTCGTTAGCTCATTATGATCAAGTTTCTCTATGTAAACTTAAATTTTGTCCATGCAATTTTCAAATATAAATATCTAAAATCACCAAGACAAATGCAAGTATTCCTTTCAGTTTTCAGCTGTCTCATTTTTCAGTTAAATATGCCTTAAGAGACAAGAGGAATGTTACGTAAGGTGAGAGTTACTTAAATATGAAAATGAAAATTGCTGTCTTTCTTAACCAGAATGGTCTAAAAATTGTACTGAACATTTTTCAGTTTTGAAGGAGAAGCAGAAAATTCCAACTGAAGTGGAAAAAATAAAAATATATGTTTAAAAGACAAAAGTAACTTCAAAGGTCATTTTCCATAAAGATAAAACAAAAGTAAAACCAGCTCATTAAGGTTCCTTGCTCTCAGAATTCCAAATCTCAAGTTTCTCCACTCAAAAGTAAAAGCGCTACGCTAAACTATTACTGTCAGTTTAACCAAGTGGACACAACTGGAGGCAGCAGAAACAGAGGACCTGAGCAAGTATTTAACTAGTACAAACTAGTTAACTTTGCTATTTAACTGTCAGAAGATGGGCCAACTATACCTCCTGTGACACAAAAGGGAATTTGATTTCACAGGTCTGAAAACCAAGGGTAAATGTTACCTTTGCTCCTGCTGTGTTTTCCAAACGTGTTCAACCTTCTGGTTACTGGTTTTGAGCGAGGCTTTCGTATACATCTCTAATCTCTTCCTCTTAGCTAAGAGAGCCTTGTTAATGTCAGCTGAAAAACAAAGAATATATAGGAATTAAGCCTACTGAGATACATCGTGCCTTCTATTAAAAATGCTGACGAGTTATGCTTTGGAGAAGCAAACAAGGTGTGTCTGAATGGAAAAGCAGCCTCATGTGATCTGGGCTCTTGGCAGCTGTGTTTAGAGTAAGCTCTGTAAAGAGTTACAGCCAATCCTGGAACTTAAAAATTGTTTTTTTAGTTTACTAGAAAGTAAACATACTTACCTCCAAATCTTTCCAGCATATTCTGTACTTCGCCCCTGGAAAACAGTGTTTAAAATTTTTATTTGCCCATTTTCTGACTTTAGAATAAGACCTGTTGTATATGCTTAAAACTAATTTTACTCACGTGCCTATTACTTTTAAGTAGTGACAGAGCTGTTTCTACAAGATAAAAAATAGCTCTCCTCTTGTGAGAGGTCTCTTTTTTAGACTAATTTGCTTTTTAAAAGAAGAATAATTACTAGAATCTATTAACTTACTCCCGAGTAAAATGGCACTATTGGGAATTAAAGGGTCCTGAGGGAGGGGGGATCATAAATAAAATAAAACTGATAGTTTCCTACACAAAAAGAAAACACAAAAGGTATTTGGAATATCAAATGAAAACAAGCCCATGACAGTCAGCATGACTGGAACAGTAAGAAAAATCCAAGATAAATAATATCAGTGTTGTTTTTACAACACTTTTAAGCTAATAACACCAGAGTGTAAGGCAGTTGTACAACAGCTGCCAAGTCCAAAAAGGGACATGGTGGGTAAAGAAAATGTTTATCTTGTTTTTACATCATCTTCTTCATGGGGTACCACTTTCTTTTTTGAAGAGTAAAAAAAAAAAGAAAAAAAATATCTTCAACTCAACAGTTATAATCTTACTAAAAGCTTTTTCAACATACACTTTTTTATTGCATTTACACTGCCCATAAATAGTGAATTTTGTAAGCTTTATATGTAAAAAGAACTTATTTTTCATACTATAGGTGGATTGTTTAAAGTATTGTTAATATCCTCAAGCAACTAAGATCAGAGGGGAAATATTAATAAAATTATCAATAATTTAGGATAAAACTTAAATCACCTTTTGAAAAAACCACACCTTTTGAAAGAACTCACACAAATATATCAAATATTTACGGATGCTCAAAAGTATCTACAACGAAACTGCAGAATTATTCGTGTTACATTTTCTTTTTTTACCTAAAATAATTTTATTATCGTCACTAATTTTTTAGTAAAATAACTGAAATCAGTGTCTATGTAAGACTTGCTTATTTTGGAAAAAAAAATGAAATCCTAACCTTACCCCACATCATCTGGAACAACATGAGTAGCTGCCAACGGTCTTTTCTTCCCATGCTTGTCCATTACTGGTGTTTCACCTTAATACAAATTTCAAAAATATTCACAAAATATCTTATATTTTGTGGGGCTCTTTTGAATTATTAAAAGTGTATTTACTTTCCTGTAATGCCATTTCTCTGAACATGTCCCATGGGTCTCAGTTCCCATCCATAACACATGCAGCTCCTGAAAGTTTGAATCTGGAGTTGACAGATGGTGGTGAATTATTCTGCAAGGCTAGACCTGAGCTGGCACTGCCCTGAGCTCCTCTAGACTGGTCTCAACCAGTTCCAGTTTCTCTGTCCACTAATATACAATGACTCTCAACTCAAAATATAACAATCACCAGCAAGGTAAAAATAGCCTAAAAATTGAAAAAGACCAATCTCTAAGAATTTCACTATGCTGTAGAATAAAGTACTGAAATTGTGTACTCTGGCCTTTAAAAAAAAAGCTAAATCAAGAACAGATATGTGTATTATTTCCAAAACATAAAAATCCTTGGCTGTCAGATTTCTACTGGGGAAGGGCGGGGAAGGGAGGCGGGGGCAATTTAGTCTAAACAAATGAAGAAGGGGAGAAATGATGAGAAACAAACCCATAGATAACTGCTGAAAGACAAAAATCCAGAAATGGAGTTACATCAAACTTTATAAAAAATTATCATGTGGTTAATGAGAACCGCATTTTTAAGTAAAGTCTACTTTTTTATGACACTTCCCCAAAATTAAACAAGAATCCCTTGCTTGACTTATTTTCCTTTTCTCTCAGCTTCCTGTGCTTCTTCCTCTTTCTTATCTTCGGTTCCGACTGAAGTACTCTCAACCTTGAGAGCATTAAGACTCCAACTACCCTACTGAGCTGAGCTAAGCACTCCATACAAGCAAGCAGAGATCTTCTTCTGTTCTATCCTGATCTCAAAATGTTACATGCAGGCAGGTGACAGAAACAGATGTCATTAAAATAAGGTAACAAAATCATGTAACAAAATCCTCCCCTATTAAAGACTCCACCTGTAATCTTAAGACATAATAGTGCATTATACAGTGCCATTCTATTGTGTTCTCTTACCAATCAGAATTATACAATAGGAGTCTAGCTGTCACCAACATCATGAGCCCTGCTTACTCAAAACACTTGCTAACACAGAAATGTCTTAATATCTTTTCAAAGTCAGCAATATTATAAGCTTCACTTTAAAAAAATAGTTCAAAAAATCATATAAGCACCTTCTCTAATATCATCCTCTGATCCACTCAGCTCTTTTCTTTCTTCCTGAAAGTCATAGGCAGGTATGGCTTCATCGTCCTGTGCCGGTTTACCTGCTTTTCCTCCATGTTTTCTTCCTGATGGTGCCATAATGAGATTTTCTTCCTACTGAAATGGTATGTTGTATTTGACACATAACTTTCCCCACAATACTTTGAAGATAAATATACTTTCATGTTTACATTGACCTGTTCCATCTGTAAGGACATTCAAGCAGTCAAAACTGTTTCAGTTTCAAGGTAATCCATAGGATTACCTATGAGTGTTTTTAAAAACAGTAAAAAAAAATAAAATACTGGGGCTAGTAGATACATACTTCATTTTGCTGAAAAACAAGGAAGTAAATTATGCACCTTCTTAAGGTGCCTGTCTGCTTGGTTTCCATAATGGTTATTACATATTTTGTCATATCCAGTATGGCATTCCCCCAAAACTATGCCAATGTTCCATTTTACAAAATACAGAAATGATAAACCATAAACAATCTGATTCTACAAGCCATCCCATACTAGACAGACAAAATATACACACAGAGGCCATTTTTAAAAATCCCTGACGCTTTCACTTTCTGAATTATCTTTACTTTTAGCTCTTATGCTTCTGCATTCCCTCATTTAACTAACGTAGTATATGTGTTTTACAAATACACCACCCTCTTAAAAACAATATTCATTCACTTATTTTAGTAAAATTAATTTTTATATATTTTGTATATTTCTATAACTATTCAAGGAGTAAAGTATCTATTTAGGAGGAAAAGAGCATAGTTGTAATCATTAAATGCATGAGTGACAAAATAAAATAGTTTCTTCCCTAGCACTTAATCACCAGTAGGAATAATATACAACAGGAAACACCAGGCTACTGAATCCTTGCTGAAATATTTCTTCTCATTACGTTTCCCTGATAGCAAGAGGTATGAAGCATTTCAAGGTGTCACATGACACTTTTAAAAACCCTTCAAAAAATAACAGGATTATTTGGAAGATGTAAAGGAGGCAGAAAAAAAAAAACAACAAAAAACAGCTGCAAGCACCCTGTTTTCCAGACTGAACAAGACATGACTCAGCAGTGGGTAACTTCTCATTCTAGGTGCAATTCACCACAGCCAGAAACATCAATACGTTTTCACAAGCCAAGGCAAAGCCAGATCTGAAAATTAAGTTCATACACTGAAATGGAAAACTCTAACAAAGATCTTTTGAATTTCCAGGACCATGAAGTCCCCCCAACACTAACAGCTATCTCACACACCTAAATTTCCCATTTCTCTTTTTTGAAATTAGTTATCTATATCTATGACAATATGTTTTTAATCACATATTACATGGAAATATATACAATGTGATCATACTAAGCTACTAAGTAGGGAACACGGCTTCTTAATATCTGACTTTTTCTGTGGTTCATACTTCTCTATATAATATGAAACAAAGATTTTTAGACCTTGTATGTTTCTTTAAATTATTAATTGGAAAAATCAAAAGCTCTTGCATTAAAAGTATCCTCAAATGAGAGTAAATTTTCAGGACTCGTTCTGCTTTTCAACTACTGCAGCTGTTGAAAACGTGACTGAAGGAGGAAAATACTGGTACGGCATCTGGATGTGCCTGTCTCTGTGCTGCCAAATAAAAAGCGCTTCAACTTTAAAATGCAAGCATGTATTTTAGCTTACATACAGGCACTTTTCTTTGTACTGGAAATCAGTACACAAAGCAGACCTCCCCAGTCCCTGCATACACTGCAAAACAATCTTGCGGCCTCACAACCCCATCCAGCCATCACCCATCCTATGCAGCTACCTGCTTTTGCCAATTCAAGTATCTTCAATCAACACCTGTGTATTTAACAGCGATCTTTCAGAGAAATTCACCTCCTTTTTTCACCCTGCCCGAAACAGACGTGCAAGAAAACATTATTTGTGTGAATATCCTTTGTGGGGCTTTTCACCATGGGGGCCCACCGGCTTTTACCTCAGAGCAGCAGCGGAGACTTGAGCCCGCACCCCACCGCTGCCACCACAGCTTTTGAGGGGAAACCACTGGGGTCTCAAAGGCCGAGGGGCACCGCCATGTCCTAACCCTGTTCCTTATTGTCCGCCCAACGACCTTCCACCCCTCTGCCCTGCCACGGGCTCTGTCTCCACTCCCACCTCCCCGCAGCGCCCACCACCGCTTCAAACCCTCCCGCCTTCGCCCAAAATCCCTCACCCCTGCCAGCACCAGCACCTCCGGCAGCCCTCAGGCTCCCTCCGCCGCCTCGGAGGCGACAGCGACAAGCTGAGGGGACCAGGCGCCGCCTCAGAGACTCCCACCCCGAGGAAAAGGCGGGAAGCCGGGCGGGCCGCACGGAGCGAGGCGCAGTAACGCCCCCCACCGGCCATGGGGCCCTCAGGGGCGGGACCCGCGGGGCGGGGCGGGCCTGGCCTCCTGCTCCAGCGTTAAACTCGTGTTTGTTTGTTTGTTTTTTAATAGAAATGGCTTTAATTTATCAAAAAGTCTACAAAATAGGTTGTTATGGTGTACAGAGGCTAAGGGTATAATGTCAAGGGAAGATATTTCCTCAACAGAAGGAATATTCCTTCTATAGAAGGGCATTTCCTTCAATACAAACAGGCAATATTTCTCCAGTCAATTTAATTTCACAAACTATAAATTTTATGTTTCAGGTTTTTCTACTGTTCTCCCAGGATTTTCATTCCTCACCCAGCTAAGGTACTTTTTACTTCGGAAGACCAAACCCAAAATCTAAATTAAAAAAATAAAAATAAAAATCCTATCACAGGATTTTGCTGGTAGCTGGGCTACCTATGCAATCTGTTTATTTATACATCACTTCAGTAGAAAAACTGCCTTAAAATTTTAACTTTTACTTAAAATTTCCACTTTTACTTCAACTTTGTTAGTTCTTCCAACTATTTTGATTAGTAGGCCACATATCATTTGTAAAAAAATCCAGATCCTAGTCAAACTTGAAGCTACCTAATACTAGTTTGAACTGGAAGAAGCTATCTAAGCTTTTTTGTATTTCCTGAAACGTACGATTTTCTGCTAGTCTGAAGTACCATTGATTTAAACTACTTACATTTTAAATTTCAGCATAATATATATGTATAGTATGAAACATAACCTTAAGATTAAAAGTGCTTGCATTTTTACAATGCTCAAAAGGTTTGATTCTACTTTGAGAATCCATTCATGCTTTAAATTAATATGAAATTATTACTGTTTGAAGTTTTTTAAGAGAAAACCAATAACTTAACATAAGGATTCATAAGCATTAATGGCTCATTTATCAAAACGGGTGAGTTTTGCTTTACTTTAAAACAGAAGCAACAGACAGGACTTTTCTCTCATTTTAGTTAATTTCAAAGCAAACCAAGATCTTACAATACATATGCGCATCCATTTTGTACATCGTCTGATTACAAAAATTAATGCTTTTTTGAATACTGTTAATACAATTAACTGAAGATACACCACCAAATTTCTGCTTGAAAAGATTCAGTATCCTTTCCCACATAAAACTGTACTGATCTGATGCCTCAGCAAAATACAGGGCCAAACCCTGTTGAATTTAAAAAACACGAAAGCTTCATGTGTCAGTACAAATATTGTTTTCTGAGTGAAACACTGCTCTCATACATTGCTACATTAAAACAGTTTATTACCCATTCATATAGAGAGGCACTTTTGCTTTTATATTTACAACGCTTATGAAATACTATACCTTGATCATTTTCGTTTGATTACAATCCTCTCTTTGTAATCAAGTCAAGAAATAACAACATTGTATTCTTTGGAACATAATTCACCAGATATAAAGTATCCTTCAAATAACCATTAGTTCTTTTGCTGTGCATTTTTTTTTAGTTAGCACACATTTCTTCCAAATCCCAATTAAAATACTACAAACAGGGATGAATTGTCACTGTGCTTTAAAGAATGTCAACATCAAAAAACATACACTAAATCTAAATGACAAGTTACATAATTCTCAATTTTCCCGTAGGGCTAAAAAAAAAAAGCAGCAATGACAGAAATTTGCAAAATGTTTTGGAATGCAAGATCAAGGACCTGATAAGCTGATCCCAAACAACTTTGCCTTCCAACATTTTATCTAGTTGGCAACATCCACTGCAATAAATGCAGCTACATTTCTTTAGGCAGCCCTTTTTATAAAAAAGGATAATATGGCCATGAACTAACAGCTGTAAAGTAAGATCTGTTGAAAACTGCCTACATACAGGTTTCCTACCATTATTTTATTTTATTTTTTGCTTTGTCACAGCTCCAGCAGCTTTGATAACACAAAGAGTACTGCAGAGATTCTAACTGTAGATGCATGATTTTTTTTTTTCTTCGTATCAACGCAGTTAAATGTCAAACCATAAAAGACACTTATGAGAGATTTTAAATGCTTATCACATCTTGAGGTAGACTGATCTCCAAAATAAAGCTCTTCTACACCTTGATTCGTTCATGACCAACTTCCTTTTGGATCCTTCTCCTTGGAAAAATCTTTCGTTTAAGTGCAATTAGCTGAAGAGAGGAAAAAAAATACAATATTTAGTTCTCTGCTGTGCTAGAGGAGCACCATTGGTCAGGCTTTCATCCTAGAAACTATGAAATCTGTACCATCCATCTTTAATTCAGTCATTACTGTCTTTTTTTTTTTTCTCTGCACAGGAAGAAAGAGTTATTTACTCAGCGTCATTTATTAGGCGTACACGTTCCCACTGGACTTCTCAATAACCAGAATACAAGCAAAAAGTGAAAAATAAGAGTATGCCTATATTCTGATTATTTTAAAGTTAATTTGTGTGTTAATGTAACACCAAACTACATTCAGCTTCTAAAAGATCAACACAAAGCTGGCATCTTAAAACAGTATTTATATACCCAGCCATACTACTGAGTTGAACGCTCCCTTCCGAAACCATGTTATTAATGGAGGAGGAGAAGTTTTCAAACATATATAAAAGGCTGAAAATCAAGGGAAAGATTCATGCAGAAAGTTACAGGTGGGAAAAAAATAATAATCAAAAGCCAACCTTTCAAGAATTACACCCTCTTCATCAGACCACGGAAAGTGTTACTTAAGGCCCCCACCTGCAAAGAATTACCCACATGATTTGTTCCATTGACTCCCTCTGAGTTCAGCAGGATTAATCATGTTCAAGAAAGCCATTTTATGCTTGTGGAAGTGGGTTGTTTTTTTCCTTCGAGTCGGATTCAAAACCATTTGAATTCAAGAGGAGTCTTTGCAATTACTTAGGGATGAGATTTAGATATGACCCCTAAATACTTTGGGATTCTCTTCACAACTTAAGAGTGTTGCTATTACATAAATTTCCTTCCTGATAACTTTGCACTTTTACCTATGTGTGTTAATAGACCAAGACTTTCAGAAACAATTGCTGATTTTGAACATCCAAGCACACTTTTGACAGACTTGACAGTCGCAAAGCAACTGAAAAGGGAACACCAACTTTCCTTCACCCCTGTAAGCTTCTCTCTTCAAGAAATGTCAACATGAGGACTTAAAAATTGAAGCAACCTAATCAGTCATGTACCACATTTACTTTCTTTATGAAGGAAAAATCCTAGCTATTGGTCAAAACTCATTTAAGAAATCAATTTAATATTATCCTGAAGATACAGCAATCTATTAAATGTTACAGAATTGATAAGATGGTATTAGTTTTACCTGTTCAGCAAAAAATGAGATGACTGTAAATACAATCAGTGTTACTAGAACACAGTGGGTCCAGAATTTGAGCTTGTCTCTATATGCCCTCCTGCACAAAGAAAGAAGGAAACAGAAAACCAGTTTCATATATTATAAATGCAAATATATAAACTTTAAACAGTTTCTGTGAAACAGGCAAAGAAGGTTTTTCCAATACTTAAAGGGTGGCTAGAAAGGGGTCAGAGGCTCTCTCTTCACAAAGAACTACCTGCAGAGGACAGGGGGCAAGAGGTACAAGTTGGACTGGGAGAGGTTTCATCTTGATATATATTTTTTTGACAGTGAGAACAACTTTCACTGGAAGAACCTCCCCAGGGATGTGGTAGAGTATCCACCAATGGAGGTGTTCAAGACACATCTGGACAGGATGCTAGAAAAATCTCATCTACGCTCCTTTTCCCCACGAAATGTTGGGCCAGGTGATCTTTCGAGGACCCTTCCCACCTGTCCTATCTTGTGATTTCGTAAAACATTTTGATAAATATGGATTTCCACCAGCACTTCAAGCATGCTTTAAACCCACTCTGGTAGAAATCTGCTTTGGCTACAAACAAGTCAAAATAAAGTGTTCTTTCGAAGCTAACAAAGTCTTGATGGATGTCCTCAAAAAGAGAACCCACAATACATCTACTACTCCTCCAGCTCAAATTTCAACTGCTAACTGCTGAGCTAACTGCCAGCTGCCACTGCTACAGCAGACCTTGTAGCACTACAATCCACACCTATTCTTGCCATCTACAATCCTTCTGATTCCTTCTACAGTTTCTCTAATATTTTCTCCTTCCTTACTAATAGCTATTTCTCACAATTTGCCAATCAGCAACAAAATTACTGTATTAATCATCTCATTTTTATCACTCTACCTGACAACCTTTTGCTTGTATTCTCAAATCAGCTATCCCAATTTCTGAAGTTGCTATTTATAAAATGGCAAGAGGTAAACAAAAAAATTTCACACATTATGTAAAAATGCGACATACATGTATCTTTTCTGATAATAATCCAGCTGATTATTGCTGACTGATTAAAAAAAAATATCACTTAGAAACGTCAGTTTATATTGCCCCTGTGCAACAGGCATTCTAAAAAATATGGGTTTTTTTTACATTTAAAGAAAGCCATAAGTCCTTAATTACTTTTTTAAAAAATAAATATTTTTTTAATAGTAGGTTAGAGCCAATCATTGAAATGTTAATGACTTTATGAGCACCAAAAACCCCAAATCCTGCAAACCTCATAGTCCATTCAAATCTTTTCACATTATTTTAACTGTTAACTCCTTCATGGCAATACTGGGGAAAAAATGGCTTGTACCAGTATGTTCTGTAATTGTATCACACTATCACAGTATAGTAACTTGAAAAGAACTGTATAACATACCATTCTTGGAGTTCATGCATGTGAAGGAAACGATTCCGATATTCTCTTGGCAGTTCAAATTGAGAGGGTATGGGAAACATTGATTCATAAAAGTCCCTAAGCACTGCTTTCACTGTCTGAGCATCCTTATGATTGTGATCAATATTGTCATTTAGGCAAACGAATTTTCTAGAAAACAAGAAGTCATTGTTAGAATATTTCTTTAATAATGTAGCAAAGGTACTGGCAAACCAAGAACACAAACAGAATCCTTTTAAACAAAATTGATACAGTATCCTTTTAAAAACAAAATGATGTATTTGATAATGGTAGTCAGTTTCCTTTTTGTTGCATTATTTTAAATTGATGTGATTTTAATTCTAAGACCACCAAGGCTGCCAGCAAGTCAAAAACCGCTGAAGAATCCAATGAGAAGCCACATTTCTCTATTTATATAATGCTGCCATCTAATGGTCACTAGTGTGCATCACCCCAGAGCCCACCACTGCACACAGAGAGCAGGTTGGAAGGTAGCATTATTATTTGGGTAAGGGTCTTTATAGTTTTAAATAAATTATCATGAGTAAAGTATCCTAAATAACAAAGTGACCGCAGGGGGTAAACATACTACATTATAAATATTTCACTGTGTGTGCTGCAGTCTTCGTTATGTATTTGATAATCAGTTGTAGTCAGTTTCCTTTTTGTTGCATTATTTTAAATTGATGTGATTTTAATTCTAAGACCACCAAGGCTGCCAGCAAGTCAAAAACCGCTGAAGAATCCAATGAGAAGCCACATTTCTCTATTTATATAATGCTGCCATCTAATGGTCACTAGTGTGCATCACCCCAGAGCCCACCACTGCACACAGAGAGCAGGTTGGAAGGTAGCATTATTATTTGGGTAAGGGTCTTTATAGTTTTAAATAAATTATCATGAGTAAAGTATCCTAAATAACAAAGTGACCGCAGGGGGTAAACATACTACATTATAAATATTTCACTGTGTGTGCTGCAGTCTTCGGAATAAGT